TAACAGGTGCCTTACTAGTAGTAACAGGTGCCTTACTAGTAGTAACAAGTGCATGAATCATCCATAATGCAATGATGTATAGTTTTCAATGCTGTCAAATGCTAGTTGTCCACTCCGTAGCGGACTTCTCTTGATTTCTTAACTGTTCAGGACTTCCGGTTTATGGACTGCTATTCTTTCTCACTCTTTGCGGACGTGGTTTCTCAACTCTAACACACTGTCGGTTCCCACGTCCAAAAAGTGACCCCACCTCGAAAGGTCAAACATGAAGAGTGATTTCCATGTTGTTTGCGAAAGGCTCTTGCAAATGCTATGCAAGCAAGCTTGTGATGGTTTGAAGTCAGCCAAACTTTCTCGAGAAACAACAATCCTTCTTCTCGTGCTAACCGTAGGCTCACAAATTGCTAACTTAGACTCAGTTGCCTTAAGACCGAGAACACGAACAAAAACCATGAACCGACGACCAACAAAGCCCGACCTTGATCAGCTCGTCGACTTGTCCTTTCACCGACAAGCCAACCCCTCTGTCACGACCTCAGTGTCGAATGTTCGAGACATCCTTGTGCAAATCCAAAACAACAGACTTGACACAAGGATGTTCTTCTTTTTTTCATGTTCTCCTTTAGACCTTTCTTTGTTAATTTTCTTTAGACCTTTCTCCTGTTGGTTGTTTCCTGCTCTTTTTCGAGGAATTCAAACGCAATCTCTTGGTTTGGCTCCACTTTATGCCTTCGGAGAGCACTCAGTCGGCAACCCAACAAGCTGCGCATCCTCTCGACTTTGGAGAGCACCGATTCTCGGTTGTCCTGTGTTTCGGCAAACAGAAAAACACATAAGCGATCGGACGCTACTAGGAACAAGGGCATCGCTACTAGGAGCAAGGACGCTACTAGGGGCTCCTGGCCTTACTACTAGTAGCAAAGAAGCTACTAGGAACAAGGGCATTGCTACTAGGAGCAAATAGCTCCTAGTAGCGTCCTTGTTCCTAGTAGCGATGCCAGGAGCCCCTAGTAGCTTCTTGTTCCTAAAGAATATACATACATTCTTTTTTTAGAATGTCAAAACATATTCCCGAGAAGTTCATTCAAACAATAACAAACCTGCCGGACCGAACCAATAGAGTTTCCAACAAATCCTGATCTAAATCCATGTGCCGAGCTTTCAAGAATTTGCACCAAATTCCTAGCTAGACATAGAAAAACCGTTGATTGATTTGATTTATCATTCTATTGCATCACTGACCAAAAAAACCATTAGGATAAATAACTCTTTATACCTACGGCTGTCATTGCCGCCTTGGGAGGAACTCGAACATGCCATACAGTTATCTCGTATCATTTGCTGCCTGGATTGGAATCCAACAAAACCCACGAAACATCAAGCTGGTCCTCTTTGGGTTCAACTGCTGCACCAACATTGAGCATTCCTTTCCTGAGCACTCCAGGAGCAGTCGTGATGCGAACAACCAACAAGGCGTAGTTCGAGAGTTCAAGGCGTTCAAGGTATGTTCAGCACTTTCTCTCTAGTATGTTCTTTTCCTTAGTAAAGCGTAATCAAGTCCAAGCGAGTTCTTTTTGTTGATTCTGTGTTTCCTTGTTTTCTTTTCAGTGTTTCTCATCACCTTTCAAGGCCTTCTTCTACGTTTCTTTCTTTCCTTCCACCTCGCTTCCTCTTGGCTCAAAGAAGTGCCTGAGGCACTGACAACTTCTTCTCCACTTCACTAATGGTGTCTCGAGCCGTCTGGACCTGTGGGATGTCAGTCTCGTGGTCTGGGCAAATCGCATCATTGGACATTGCCAGCTGCAGTTGGCAAAAATATGTGACCAAGCTCACATGCTGTGGAGTTCGCCCTCAGCTTCACTGGCCATGTTCACCTAACCTTCTGGATTTGGCAATCAAGGCCGAGCTGCCCGGTGTTCGGCCAGTTCGGATGCAGCCACTCGCTTGGTGATCTCGAGCAACGGATCAGCCACAAAAACCTTGGCCCAAATGATTCAAACAACGTTCATGTCGGACTGAGCTGGATTTACTTCGCTTAGATCAAAATCTGACAGTGCAGTCCAGTACACATCTTTTCATTTTAGACAGGAATGGTGTGAACGAACATCCGGGATGGTAATTAGACAATAACGAACCGTCTGTATGACATTTTGGAACTTTAGATCGGCCTCATTGAACTTCAGTTCAAAGTTGCAGGCGGTATTTCTGCTCAACTAGACATCTTCAATAGGAAGGACGCTACGTTCGGGGCTCCTGGCATCGCTACGAACGGAGCGATCGGACGCTACTAGACATCCTCAATGTGCTCAACCCGAGTCTTTGAGCACGCGGACGTGCAGCACAGACAACAGCGTCTGGGTGTTGCCACGATCCCGAAGCACCTTCCAGTGCGGACAACTATCGAAACGAACACATCGAGAAGAATGTGTCGGTTTACGCGAGTGGTCTTAGGTCTTGAAGAGAAGACAAAACGCAAAACAGGAAAATACAGTTCTAGAGAACATGAAAACAAAAGAGACCAGAAAAAACGCATCCGTTTACCAGACTGCAGCGATTCTTTCTAGTCTTGGGACCTCCATAGTCACTTCGCAGCACTGGCGGAAGATACCCTCCACCCCGGTGATGCCCATGGCCTCGTATCACAATATTGAAAGAATGCTCCTAGTAGCGATGCCAGGAGCTCCTAGTAGCTTCTTGCTCCTAGTAGCGATGCCCTTTGCTACTGAAAGCTCACGTGTGCCGTTCAAGTGTCGTTCTTGGAACTCACACTGACATGCTTCGCGTCAGTGAAATCAGCGAAGGAACACCTCATTCAGCCTGGTGGCAGCTACACAGTTCTGCGTCAGCCGAAAGGGAACCATTTCTGGTCGTTCCAGAAGCATACCTGGGGAAAGAAGGACAAAAAGCTTTGTCAATACAAGGCATAGAAACAATAAGCTACTAGGAACAAGTGCATCGCTTCTAGTAACAAGTGCCTTACTCGTAGTAACAGGAAGCTATTAGAAACAAGATCATACTGCTTAGTTTCCTTTGTTGAAGAAAGAAGGCGATTAAAACAGGAACCCTGCGCCTTTGTTGAAGAGGCAGTCAAAGTCGACGTGTACAAGCCTGGTTCACACAAATGCCCAAGTCAGATAGTTGTGCTTGGAGCCACACAAAAGGCCAAACAGTGAGAAGCGGAGGTTTCATGCTACCAAACTTGCAGCCCATTGGACGGACTTTTGTCACTTGACTTTTCGCGGATCCCTAAACAAACATGTACGTTCTTGGAAGTGATCAAAGTGTGCACTTTGTCTATGACTATCTCCTGGAGCTGTTGAATTCGGGGCAACTAGCATGAATGACCTGCGCCTTTCGCGAGCCCAACACTGCAGGCAGCTTTGCCGGGCGCCTGCCCGACTCGGTATCGATGAGGATGTTCTCAAGATGACGATCTCCGAGGCCAACAAGATATCCAAGCATGCACCAAAGCGCCTCGGTGGCACTTCCACTGGACAGGCCAAATTGTTCAAAATAATTGGCGTCCTTGCTCCTAGTAGCGATGGCCTTTGCTCCTAGTAGCGTCCTTGCTCCCAGCACGTCCAAGAATCCAGGCTTTTTTAAACATGTCGTCTAGAAAAGACTATTTCCCGTGGGCAGAAAGCCGCAGGCAGTATGGCCCAAAAACGAAGGTCTGCAGAAAAAAAAACATCTCAAGAAACGAGTGCAAGGCCGATATTATACCTAGCTGAGTTCCACGGTGAATGATGTTTCGATTGTTTGCATCTCGAAACATGATGTTTTGTGATGCAATGTTCAACACCCACACTTGCATCGCTTCTAGTAACAAGTGCCTTACTAGTAGTAACAAGAAGCTACTAGGAACAAGTGCATCGCTACTAGTAACAAGTGTCAAATAAGTTTCCGGTCCTGAGATTGGCTGAATAGCACGCGCTTGGCAAACCACACGGAGGGATCCCCACACTTCAGGAACCACCTTGGAGGCGAGAGTAAAGAAAGATGCTAAGACAAAGAAGCTACTAGGAACAAGTGCCTTACTAGTAGTAACAAGAAGCTA